ACACTGGAAGGTCTTATCAGGAAGTGATAATATTATAGCTTGTGTAGACAGCTTTGTTGACTTGCTTCTTAGTTGTCTGTCCTTACGTGTTTGCAGCTGCAGATTGCAGCCTAACACGTAGGCACGTAGGCATGAAGAAGTGTAGAATTAAGCATACTGAAGGTTACAAGATGGAGTGACTTATGCTATATTCCAACAAAATCTAAACTAAACATTATAATTATATGCATAGTTTTAAAGAGCAATTTAACAATTTATTTGGATTGCTCTATAGTAATACATTTAAACTAATAATAGTTTTATTGCATTGCCAGTGTAAATAAAGCTATTTTTCTCTCATTTTATATTTCATGCATGTCTTCCAAAATCTAAAGTGTAAAAACTTGGGTAGAAAAAATACATATAGACAGTATAACCTTTGTATAATTTCTTTAACATATGCATCATATTTTTAAAAGATGGTTTAATAATTTATATAAAAATATATTCTGAAAAGGCAAGTCTAGGAATTTAGAAAATCTCTGTTCAGTGTTTTCTGTTATGATATTTAAATCCTTGTCTTCTGATATCCTTTTGATTATTTACTAAGAAGTCTAAGAGCCATGCAAGATCAGACCAGAGTTTTGTATTATCTAGCACATGGTTTCTGACCAATGGAAAGCAAAGCATGAGTGTAGTCTTTCTCTCCCATGTAAGTGCTACAGGACGTGCTGTTTAAAGATGTGTTGTTGTCATGACTGAAAGCTCTTGGCAGCCTTAGATGCCATGATTTTGCCTAATCTTTTGTTAAGCTAATTGGCACAATTAGTGAAGAACATAGCACTTTCTTTAGAATAGTTTTATCCCTTTGCAATTTATCTATCTCATGCACTGTGCAGCATTATGCACTTGCTTGCACTAAGTCATGATTTCTACTTTGATCTTATGTAGACATTCTGTTTCTGTACCACAAGCATTTATTTGAAACACTTGTCATAAAGGGCAAATTAGTTCCTGTCCAAAGCCTTTGGAACATGTTGATATTGATTATGAAGAAATAATTCATTCCTACAAAGCTCTCCCCCACCTCCCATCAGATCCATCAAATCCACCTGCTCCATCCAATCTCAGGATTGCCAACTCTACAGTAAACAGTGATCGAAGTATAAACATAAGGATTTTTTGGGATGTCCCAGAGGAACCTGATATTCCAGTCCGTCATTACAAAATCTTTTGGAGCTGGACTATGAGAAGCAAGGCTCTTCTCCAAGCAAAAAAGAAGAGAAGGAAGACTATAGATGGAGTAAGTAAAAAAGGAAATAGAATGAGATACTAAAAATATATGTCTCAATTGCTTCTATCTAGTATATTCAATTTTCTTTAGGCTAGAGGCCTTCCAGTCTCTGAACAGCATTTTGAAGAACACTTTGTAAAAGAGGATAGAGGAAATGGGTACTTAAAATATTTTAGAAGTTCATGGCAGAAGGCCAAACATTGAATGAATTACATTATATTATTTAAATTACTTCCTTGCTAAATTGTTAAAGTGGTTTTATTCAGGCAGGCATTCAAAGTTTAATGGACTGCTGCTGATTTTTCTTGCTGTTTTTATATTTTGAGATTATTTTAGGGTACTAGGCTTTATAATGTCCTGTTGTACAAATTGTTTATATGTTTTCATGTTTTTACTGTGTAGTCTGGTAAAATTCAGAATGCTAATGATGATGATGTTGATGATGATAATAATAATAATGATGATATAGTTTATAAAATGACCCTTTTTCTTGAACCTCAGTAATTAGTAAAGGAGAAATCAACAGTACCCTATTCATTTGATAGAATATGTAACAACTAAACTGTCTCAGTGTTAGCATTAACTCTGTGTTAATGTGGCAAAGAACAATCCATCTCACATATGCTATGGTGCGTACAATGCTCTTCAACATGTACGGAGAAAGACCTCATGTTGGTGAGAGAAAATGCTGTCGACGTGGCCCGATACTGAGCGAATGTCATTTAGTTTTAACCTTATTTATTTTACATATTTTTAAACTTGCTATATTTTTATGACCTATTTTATGCCTATTTTATTTACTCGCCATTGAATGTTATATGTCTATTGTTTGCTTCTGACATAAACTGTTAGCAAAACCATAATTGATTTATGCAACTTAATTTTGTTCCCTTAGTCTCAAAATTATGTGATCCTTAAACACCTTCAACCCAACAGAAATTACATGGTGGAACTCCAGGCAGTTACATACTGGGGTCAAATACGACTGAAAAGTGCAAAAGTGTCTCTCTACTTTAATTCTACTCAGACAACTATCAACAACAGTAAGTAGTATTTTCCATAAAACAATAGTAAAGTTTCTCTCTCTCTCTCTCTCTCTCTCTCTCTCTCTCTCTCTCTCTCTCTCTCTCTCTCTATTCCATTTCTAAGTAGTTTACTGGGTATAGTCTCCTTGGTATTCCAGTTTGGCTAGGAATAATTCTGTCAGACCCTCAATGCATTGTACCCATTTCATTTACTTATGCATTTCATTTTCGGGTACTGCCATTCTGTTGGGAGGGGGGAGGTTTGCTCTGTGAGGGGGGGACTTCTGCAGGCTCTGGGATGTGTTTCCTTTGCTTTGTTCTATCTTCTTTGAAGTAACTCTCTCTGGGTGTGAAAGGAGGGAAGAATATACCTGCAGCCATCTGCCTTATCTCCAGTCAGATAAGAGAACTGCACATTATTGCCTGGTTCCCATAACAACTTCACACCTATGGATTGGCTAAAATCAAACTGGATGGTTGGACACTGGGGAGGAGTTTGAAAGGGCAGTTTTAATGTAACATTTCACGCAGAAAGAATTTAGATCTTGCCTAGCTTTCCTGCTATCACTAACTCTCAATACAAGTTCCTGTTGAAACAATGCTGGTTTCAAGAGTTCTGCTTTCTTGGGAGCAACTTCATAGATGGGGAAATTGTGAATCTAATAATCTTTTTTTGTCTGGGCATGTATAGAAAAATAAATACTGATATTCAGTTCTTACAATATATACATATTTGGAGCTTTTCCAAATATATAAATAAATCATAATTATCACAATGTGATTTAGTAGTTAAGGACAAAGACCCAAAGTTTTATTTATCCACAACCATGGAAGCTTATTGAATGACTTTTATCCAATCACACTCTCTTAGTCCAAACTATCTCACTGGTTGTGGGGGGGGGATGGGAGGAGGGAGCACTACATAAACAGCATCTTTGGGTCATGAATGAAAAGAAGAATGTACATCTAATCCTTAAGAAACATATACAGCCTACAAATAGGGAAAGTATAAGTCTGTTTGTCATCTATTTGGGAGATAGTAAAAAATGCCAGATGTTTTGGTATTTGTGACGTTAAGCAAATTAATGCATGTCTTCTGGATATATCTCATTTTTCCTTATTTAAGTACACTGGGAATATTCTACTGTAAAGTGTTAGGATTAATGCTAGTTAATGTTAAATATTTTATTTCCAAGGATTTGCTAGAGGATTACAAAACAGATTTAAAGATATATCATATTTTGTTTCCTTTAGTGCTTGCTATGTGCACTGAAACTTCTCATCTAATCTCTATATCCATATTACAGCAGGGTAACTGAAACAAACTCCTTTTTTATAGTTACCAATTTCTGTTTCCTGCTGCAGATCATATTCAATTTATATTCAGATAAAACCTTTGCTAATCAAATTTTTTGCTGCAATGGCGGACCTACCGGGGTTAGCTCCGTGACGAAGCGGAGTCCTCAGCGGAGATGGGGGGCCTCTAGAGGGTCGGGGCTTTGCCGCGACCCTAAATTCGGGGAGCTGAGCTTGCCGGCAGCTTGTCGTGCGACCCCCCGGTTTTCGGCTGGGTGGAGTCACGGGCGGAGGACCCGGCTCGGCGAGGGCTTGATTGGGCGAGGGATGCGGCCCAGCAGAGGATCTGGCCCGAAGGACGCGGCCTAGCGGCGAGGGATGCGGCCTAGCAGCGAGGGATGCGGCCCAGCGGCCCAGGCGAAGGATGCGGCCCAGCGGCCCGGCGGAGGATCCGGCCCGAAGGACGCGGCCTAGCGGCCCGGCGGAAGATCCGGCCCAAAGGACTCGGCCTGGCGGAGGATCTGGCAGGGACGGATCCGGCCGGGACTCGGCCGGGACTCGGCCCGGCGGAGGATCTATCCCGAAGGACTCAGCCCGGTGGAGGATCTATCCCGAAGGACTCGGCCGGGCGGAGGATCTGGCTGGGACGGAGGACTCGTCGAGGGCCCGGTGGAGTGCACCCGGGCTCGGCAGGAGCCGGTGAGTGCCCGACGGGCGCGGATGCCTGTGCCCGCGCCTCGTGGAGGCTGAGGGCCGAGGGAGGCCGAGGGCTGATTTAGTCCGAGGCCCTCCACCAGAAGATCTTGCGGCCGGCTTCTATGGACATGGCAAAGGCCCGACGTAGGCCTGGGGACTCGTATAGTTGGGGCCCGGCTGCCTGTAGGCCTTTTTGGCTGGATGGCAGGGGGAAGTCGGTGGCCACTTCGGAAGATCGCCCTACCGCTGCTGAGGCCTGGGGTGTTTTGGCCCCGTGGCTCAACAACGTGGTAGGGGTCTGTGTAGGGTTGGCGGCTGACTTTACCATTCCCCCCCCATAAGGACAACGACAACGACAACTGCTGCTGCTACTCTTTTCATCCACCTCAGGCCCCTGAACTAGACTAACCATCATGAGGACTCTTTCCCCCCCCC